ACTTTAGGAAACTGATATTGGAAGGCATGTGAATCGAGTTCGGAAGCATCCATCGAACAATGTTCGGAGATTAGCTAAACAGCTTGTCAAGTTACGATCAAATTTCAGAAATTTTGCTCTTCATATTCAGCTAACAAGAACCACTCTTGATTGACTTTACTTGTTGTCTCTCTGCAGAAAATGGAAGGAAACGGTAGACGAATGGGTCAAATTTAACCAGCCTTGTGATCTCGAACCTCCGAGTTTGATAGGTAAAAAGAAAAAAACAACTCTGTGAATCTCAGAACAAGCATCATTCTTATCAATCTCAGTACAATCAATCTCTTGACTGTAGCCGATGAGGACTCACCGGTGCAGAAAGCTGTCCATAACGGTAATCGCCAACAGGTAACTAAAAGCCGAAACCCTTTCCAATTCTTGGTTAGTCATTGAGCTAGCTTCAATTGTTATCTTCTTTTCTCTGTGTCAGGTTCCTGATTCCGGGTATTCACCGGTTCCTCAGACTCAGAGTAAGTATTTGAACAAGAATTCTAAAGTTTAGATCTTTATCCATTTTTAAATTCGTAAAGCTTATTCTTGTTTCCGGTTTTTGACAGATGGAGATTCGGGTTCAAGCAAGAACAGTAATGTCACTGAGCCAGAGAGAAAACCAAGACCTGTTGCTCCTCCTCCTAGGAGGGAATCTCCTTCTCCAGCCAAACCTTCTCGTCCTTCTCCTTCTCAACAAAACATTCAGGTACATTACCAAACCGGATCCTAATATCGGTGTTAAAAGACTCTAAAACTAAGTCAATTCTGATGAACTTGGTTTTGGAATTGCAGAGGGAGAGAGAGCATAAAGAAGTTGATTTCGACTCAGCACGGAAAAGGCTACAACAAAACTACAGACAAGCCGAGAATGGTTTTAAAACTCGATCATCGATCTTTTCCTCTGTTTTTAGTTTCCGACATTTCTACTCGATTGGATCGATTTCTGACCGCGGTTTTTTGTGTGTTTTGAATCCAGCTAAAAAGCAAAGGACTATACAGGTGATGGACATTCATGAGATCCCAAAACCTAAGAAAGGAGGATTTTTTCCAAGAAAAGGAGGTGGTAGTTCTCAAGGCGGGAGACACTGGTAAATTGAAAAAAGATGATGATATAAAGAGAGTTAAGTGCAACGAGGAAGAACAAAACAAAAAAGAGAGAAAAGACAGAGAACAAAGCTCTGTTTTTGAGACACAAGAAGAAAGACAGTGAAATCTATAAAAAAAAATGTTTCATGAATTTGGAATTAAGTTGGTGGGTACACTTGTTTTCCATTTTGTTGTTGCTTACTACTATTATTTCTTTTCGGATAAAGAACATAATTTTCTTGGATTTTATTAATAATAGATTCGAGAAAAAAAGTAGTTTACCATGTTTTTGTTTTTGGCTTTACACCAATGATGTGCTTATATGTAAGGAAAATGAATTTGGTTTTTCTTACGAATTGATTTTTGAAAAAATTGTAAAAATGTCACTTTTTACACCAAAAATGTTTGTTTCTATGCAGATTCACGGTTTGAAGGAAACTTGTTATCAATTACAGTCGATGTAAATTTCAATTTCTAATTTGTTAATAAATTTGTAGGTACAAATTAACACTGAGTACCACGACATCAAATTTTTTTCGATGAGTACAAAACACCTTAATGTATATATTAGGTCGAGCATATCTTTTAGATTTAAGAAACCAAAAAATTACTAATGTTATAAAACCAAAAAAAAATTAGGGAAATTGGGCTCAATAACTATAAAAAAAAATTATAATCCACTAAGTAACTAATTACCCTAAATCTAATGATTACAATAATGCCATATCAACCATTTTTTCTAGATTTTGAATTATAATTTTTTTTTAGTTATTCACCAAATTGATCCAAAAAATTGTTTTTTACTTTGTTGTGATTACCCTTGTCCTTGAGACCCGTTTTGGCGTTGGTCCACTGTTATATGATGATGAAGGAGACACATTTTATTTAAATCTTTTTGACCGAATCATTGTGGATACGCATGAGCTGTTTTTGTATCAAACCATTGTGTTAAAGTATGTATCCATAGGCTTTTGATAACAATGATATTAATTTTAAGGAGAACAAGACAAAATTAAGCGATTAATGTCACTTTTTGTGTCCACGTTTCCAAAAAATGTAATTTTTAGTGTCTATTTACAAGAAGGTCACTAATTATAATTTTTTAGAGCATAAATCTTAAAATTCTAAGCCCTAAAAAATCTTGGGGCAATTATAAAAATATCACTTTTTATGTGCACATTTGTAAAAATGCCATTTAGGGGTGTCCATTTACAAAAATGCCACT